GGCGGCGGCGGCGGCGACGCCAGCTGCTTCGTGCCCGCCCATAGAAGCGCCTCCGCTGTTGTCACCCGAGAAGGTGTTTCTGCGACAGCAACCTCAAGAAGGGCCCCAAGCGTACGGGCAAGAACAGAGGCAGCGACAGCGTTCAAGCTCAGAATCACAGCAGGGGCAGCGGAGCTCTAGCAGAGGACCGAGTCGTATGCCGCCCCCGCGGCCCCGCGGTTCGTCGCCTAGCGACCTGCCGCTGACAGACGAACCGCTCTTGTCGCGCGGCGACCCCCCTATGCGCCGCTCCACGCACAGTGTGAACGAGTACTCTGTCCCTCGGGTGGTGGAAGAGGAGGAGGAGGGTGTGTGCGAGGCGTCATCAACGCCGCCGCCGCCGCCACCACTGCAGCCTCAGCNCCTCGGGTGGTGGAAGAGGAGGAGGAGGGTGTGTGCGAGGCGTCATCAACGCCGCCGCCGCCGCCACCACTGCAGCCTCAGCATCAGTATCAGCGCCAGAAGCAGCAGCAGCAGCAGCATTGGACATCATCGGGCCTCAATGAGACCACGAAGGTGTCGTCGCCCTCCGTGATGTGGCGTGGCGACACTGCTGGTGCTGATGCTGACGCGGCGGCGGATCAGTTGCTAACGCGAGGCTCCGCCTTCCGCCCGACGTCGCTGCTGCCGCCACCGCCCGTCACTGGCACCACCACAATGATCGTTGTGGCGAAGGCGGGGCTGCGCGGCTGCAATCACCACAATATCAACAGCAAGAGTGGAAGCAGCAGGAGCAACTCCCCCAGCAGAAAGCTCGCACGTGGGCCGCTCATTGTGCGTGTGTTTGTGCCGAACGCGGTGCTCGACGAGGCGACGGTGCTTGACCTGAAGATTGAGGTGGAGCGGCAGGTCGGCGTTGCGGTAGAGCGGCAGACGCTGCGTGCCGACGGCGTTGCGCTGCTCGACGACGTACCGCTCGCCTTTCTAGATCCCGCAACCGTGCTGTTCATGGACGCGGTGCAGGGCAGTGACGAGGACGAGCCGCGAGCGCCTCACACGCCCCATTCACTGCGTGCGACCACCGCACATTCGTCGTCGCCCACAACGTCGTCGTCGGCGCCGCGTGGGCGAGAGCCGCTTCTGCAGCAGCAACTGGATAGGCTGCTGCGCGCCCCGGCAAGGCGACCGGGGGCTGCCACGGCCGGAGTGCGGGGGGACTCAACTGGTACGTCTGTCACAAGCGTCACACGTGCACCGTCGGAAGCCACAGCAGAGGTAGAAGCGACGAGAGGAGCAAGAGAAACCGCATTCGTTCAGTCTCATGCCGCCACAGACGGCTCCAGCAAGCACCGGCCCTACGATGCCCAGAGCATGTCCCGCCTGATGCATGCGTCTGGCCACAGCAAGAGCAACAATGCCAATGAAGACGACGGTGACGTTGATGACGGCAATGATGCGCACACAGGCGGTCATTTCACCGACGCGACCATATACATGGATGATGACGATGATGACGATAGTGCTTATATTCCCTTGCAACAGAAACAACAGCAACATCACCACCAGCAGCAATGGAGACGCAGACATCCAGTCTCACCTCCGCTTGACATGGTGGACTCCCGCAGCCCGTCGTTTGGTGCAGATTGGCGCAGCAGTGTGGAGGCCCGGCGGCCATCGGTGGATCACCGGCGGTTCTTGGAGGACGCCATGATGAGGGCGCACCAACAGATGGAGCTGCTGGCGTGGCTCTGTCACCGCTCGCAGAACCCTGCCAACAACAACAACGGCGACGACGACGACAACAACAAGAGTGCCGGAAACAAGAGCAACAGAAGTCGCGGTCCCCCCTGTGCGAATAGTGAGGGAATGATGAGTCCACAGCCCCGGATACCGCAGACGGGCATGGGGCGCAAGGTGTTATCACCCGACACTCCTCAAGTAGATGCTTCTGCAGTTTCTGCTGCTGTTGCTCCATCTGTAGAGGCAACGCGCGTCGTTTCGCGGCAGTGAGTGGGTTGCAGGGCGGCGGTGCCTGCTGCTGTGGCATATAATTCTGGGCAAATACTATCATCAACTTCATATCGACTCCCACCTGAGGCGCGGCGTGTGACGGCGCCTTTGAGAGGGGGGAACTCTGGGGAGTGGAAGATGGCTGTGAAAGGGAACGGGTGTTTCACTACGTACCTCTCATCCACTCCTGCTGTAACATCATTTGCCTTCGCGGTTTTGTGTGTTGTTTCGCCTTCATGAATAATGTGCATGATTCGCCGTGGCCTTGGCGCCCTGCAAGATGGCGCCTCTTGGCTCCTGCTCCTCCCACCTCCCTCCTTCCTGCTCCTCCTTCTCCTCCGCCGGCGTGAGTGCTCCACTAGCTTATTTGTTTTCTGCTATTTGCTCTTTCTCTCTCTTCCCCTCTGTCTGTCTTCCCTGCTTCGCCCTTGTGCTCTTCGTTGACACGGCCGTTTCATCGGCGTGCCGGCTCAACCAAACGTGCGTGTATATATATATATATATATATATACGTGGGAGTAAGAAAGTGAGGTAGTAGAAAACATTTGACCGCACTTGGAGAGATAGAAAGAGAAGGACTGAGGCACCGGAAGGGAGAGAATATTTATCGCCCGCAGTGGTTGCTGTTGACATCTTTACAGTCCATTTAGCCGGAGCCCCAGAAAGGCGCAGATTCGTGTACAGGCACCAGCGCAATAGCTGCGAACGGAGTGCTCCACCTCAACGCGGTCTGCCGCTTCGCCGTTATCGTATTTGCTGTTCAGCTCTCTTGCAATTGGCCGGGTCTGTTTTTTTTTTTTGTGGTGTGTGCGACTGCATTGGTCCCTGACTAGTCTAATATTCCTGTACAGAGCCCGTCTGTACACGCCAGAGAGGGACACACACACACACAGCCACACTGCTTGCCTCCTCTATTGTCAACATCGCCTTCGTTTGAGTCCACACCTCACGTGAGCCGAGGCGCAGAACAAACATAATGACACTCAGTGAAGAGCCAGAGTCCATCGCACGGGAGAATTCACGCATGTCGTTGTTAAACACCGTCTCACCGGACGCTGCTGCTGCTGCTGCTGCTGCCGCCGCAAAGAAAGGCTACGCAGAGGGGAGTGAAGCCGCGGAGCGCCGGGGCGGGAATCCCAGAGACGCCGGGGCGAGTGACCACGATGCGCACAGCGACGGCTCACTCACCGCGGAGGGAAGGCCCGGTCACCCCAAGGCCACTGACACGTCGCTGATGGAGATGAACGCCAAGACGGCGCCGAGCCGCGTCAAGCTGATGGCCGCTCTGATGTACGGCGTGATGTCGATTGGCATCATGATGCTCACCAAAGCCATCCTCACTGAATTTGACTTTCGCTGCTTCGTATTCGTCGGATTCCTCCAGTACCTTACGACGGCGGTGATTCTGTTGCTGCGGCGGTTCCGCGGCAACATTAGTTTCCCGCTGCGCAATGCCTTTCGCATTCTCTTCGTGGACCTCTTCCCGCTTCCGATGGTCTTCATGTTCAACACCCTCAGCGGGCTCGGGGCGACGCAGTCGCTAAACATGCCGCTCTTCGTGCTGATGCGTCGCCTATCGATTGCCATGACGCTCTTCGGCGAGGCGGTGTTCCTGCGCTACAGGCACGACTGGGAGACACGTACGGCGGTGGGGCTGATGATTCTCGGCGCCCTCGTCGCCACGAGCTTCAACATGCAGGCGCCGCTGAGTGGCATTGTCTTTGTGCTCGTGAACGATGTTTGCACGGCGCTGAACGGCGTGCTGACGCGGTGGCGTCTCGACGAGAATAAGTTGTGCTCGGAGGGCATCATGTTCTACACCAACGCCTTTGCGGCGTTCTTCTCTGGCGCGATGCTGCTCTGCGACGTGCGCGGCGAGCTGACGGAGATGCGCCGCTACGAGGGCTGGACGCTGCCCTTCATGCTGATGCTTGCGCTCAACGCGGTGTCGGGCTTCGGCATCAACTTCTTCACGTACCTCTGCATGAAGCTGAACTCCCCACTCACCGTCTCGATGATTGGCGCGGCGAAGAACGTCGTGACGTCGTACATCGGCATGGCGTTTAGCGACTACACCTTCGCCATGCCGTCCTTCGTGGGCGTCAACCTCTCGGTGGTCGGATGCATCCTCTACAGCCACCGCGAGTTTGTCCGCATGGTGCAGCGGCAGGAGGACGACACACAGCAGCAACGCGCCGCACGGAAGGAGGACCCATAAGTGTAACGATGCCAGTGTATCTATCTATCTATCTATCTACCTTTCACGTTATGTCTGTGTTTTTCTTTTATTATGCATTCATATATATATATAATATAATATATATGTATGTATGTACCTATGTGTTTTGGGTATGTGCAGGGTGCAACGGAAACAGCAGCAACGACTAAAGCACCTTGAAAGCGAAGCCACGAATAGCAACAGCGAACAGCAACAGCAGTGAGGTGGAGCGAAGCGAATAACAAGAAGGCCGTAGATGTGTGGGGAGCCACAAGGGAAGGAAGGCAGGAAGGGTCAAAGGCATTTTTTCTTTTTTTTTTTCCTGTTTGTGTGTATGCGTAAGTGTGTGCGCTTTCTCGTATTCCTCTTCCTTGGGGCCCTCCACACTCGTGCTCTTAATCTGTGCGTGTGCATTCATGAAAGCCCGGCAGACATCGTCTTATTTTTGCATTTCTGTTGCTGTGGATATCGCTGTTCGGACTTCTTTTTTGTTTTTTTTTTTTGTTCTTCGTTGTGTGTCTCTGTGTGCGTGTGTGTGTGTGCCTGTGTCTCACTGCTTCTCCACTTTTTTTCGTTCAGTTGTTGTTTTTACCCTTTGATTTTTGTTGCTGTTGTTGTTTCCTTTTGTTTTGCTTCGGCTTCCCCCTTCTGGCTCTCTGTCATTGGTGTCGTTGCGTCCTGTCTGATTTGATTTTCGCTTCTTATTGGGGCCCTGCGCGTGTCTGGACGTCTCTCCCTGTGTGTGGGTGGCTGTGGGGGGACAACCGCTGACGCTGCGGCTGCGGCCTCTGCCTCCGGGACACACACACACACATCAGTGCGTGTATATGTATTGCACAGCGATATGCGTACAGCTACATGTATGGCTGTATGCGTGCGTATATGCACACAGACACGGATAGAGAGAGAGAGAGAGAATGAAGCAAGCACTTGGACGCACATGTGCTCTGCGACTGTGCATACTTGGCAAATCGGACCAAAAGGAAAGAGGGGGAAAAACAGGAGTGTAAGAGCGAAATATTGCCGTCACGCAACCCGAACTAAAAGCTGATTTACGCAGCCAAAACAAAGCGAAGTAAGACAGAGAGAGAGAGAAGAGAGAAGAGAAAGAAAAAAGCAATTTCTTTGTTTGGTGCAGTTCCAAGCGTCGTTGTTGTTGCTGTTGCTCGTGTGCTGTTTACTCTGAACGGACG